TTTTTATTTCAAAGCAGAAGAAACTCTAAATATTGCTTGTAATGCAGGAATTATTGAAGGGGGAGAGCAGCACGCGATGTGGCTGTTGGTGCTTTTAATTCATCCCCGTGTTTTTGAGGGCTCTTGTTCTTAGCAAAAAGCATCTTTAGCTGAAGGTTTCCAGAGAAACTCCTTGGCTTTTCCATATTTATTTACAGCTTTTCCTTGTTCAGAGGGACAGCAAAGTAATGTTGGGATTGCCTGAGGGAAGATTTTGCTGAGAAACTTTGCAAGAATTATGAAATATTTAAGTCCTTTCATCCTGCAGAGGTATCTGCCCACCTTTCCCTCACCACTCCTTTTGCCACTGGCTTGCCATCTGGATCAGAGGAAGAGAAAGCTCTGAGCTTCTCAGCTTGCTTGTCAAGGGTGAGAGACTTGGGTGAAAAAAGGGCAGAACAAGGGCAGTGGAACAAGGCTGGTGATGGGCAGGCTGCTGTGCTGGCACTGCCCAGGGCTGGGTTAATATTGGGGCTGCCCAGGCTCTCCTAAAATAATAATGATAATAATGATAATGATAATAATAATAATAATAATAATAATAAACAGCCAAACTGCTCTGGCTGCTGGGGTTTATCTGCAGGGATGGTCCCAGAGGGTGGAGAGGGTGCTGTAAATCTGACTGGCCCCAGCTTTTAGAATCTTAGAGCTCCCATCGGCTGCCTTGCTGCTGCTGATTAATTCAATTTACTGCCATGATTCCATGACAGTAAATGGAGTTAATTTAGGAGAAGGTTTCCAGTGTGAAAACTCAGGGATGGGATGAGCCAGAGTGCTGGACTCAGGACAGCCAGGCCCTTGCTGGGGTCACTGCTGGGAAACATTTCTGATTTTCATGCCTTCCCTCCCCTCTTCTGACCCATGGATGCTGGGATTGGCCTTGACCCTGTGTTCTCTCATTAGCATTGCTTTGCTGATATTTATTTTGGTTTTAGTGGTCATTCCTGCATTTGAAGAAGGAGATTTTTCTGTTGGGAAATTCTAAGCAGGGCTTTTAAATATGGAATATTGGAACAGCCAGGCCTTGGGGTCAGCTGCTCTCCTGTGCCATGGGGTGCATGGACCTGGGCAAGAGTGGCCACCAAAGCCCTGGATTCCACCCCAGGAGGTGCTGCCCCATCCCTGGAAGTGTCCAGGGCCAGTTTGGACAGGGCTTCTGGGATATTGGAGCTGTCCCTGCTCATGGTGGAGTGGATGGGCTTTAAGGTTGCTTCCAACCCCAAACTACACAGTGACCCTAAAACCCCTAAAGTGACCCCAAAACAGCAAACCCAAACCCCTAAACTGACCCCAAACCCCACATGGGGGGGTCCCAAACTGACCCCAAAACACCAAATTTAAACCTCAAACTGACCCCAAACCTGTCATGGGGGTCTGGGATTCATGTGGTGGAACCAACATCTCATTCTTAATACTGGAATTAAGAAGGTTCCTCTGGATGGGGCTGAGTTACTAAACTGAGGTTTTAAAACAGGTGAGGATCCTCTTGGAGTTCTTGCTTTACTGTAGTGGTAGAAATCAAAACAGAAGAATTGAGGAAAAAAAAAGAAGACTTCTGTTGTGGCAGAGTCAACTTTGGGAAGGAAATGCAGCTTAAATGATCTTGGTGCACGTTTTAAAAAGGCACCAGTGACACCATGAATATTTGAAGCTTTTGATCAGTGGTGCAGAAATGAAAGGAGCAGCAGATGCAACTGTGATTAATTATTGCCAAAAGCCATTTCTTGCACATGTGGAGGTTGAGTTCACTGGAATTTCAGGGCTGGGCAGTAATGCAAACAAGACCCCAGCTTCATCCATGTGGTTCTGTTTATTATGCAAATCTCTTCCAATGAGTTTAATCAACATGTGCTGCTGGGGGGTGGCAGCTTCAGCTTCAGAGGATTTTTGTGGGCTGGACAATTTGGGCTCTGCCTGCTCCAGTTTGATGGATCCAATGGTTCATGCTGTAGCTCTAAGTCAGTTTTCTTTATTTAGGAAAATAACCTATTTGCCATGTTCTGTCTGTGAGTGTTTGACCTTTTCACCTTGGCTTCTAGGAGTAAATCAGTTTTTCCTGAGGTATTCCCAGAAGGAATTGGGCAGAGGCTGCTTCCATGTCCATCCCAATGATGGCACACAAACCTCACACTGCAGAATAGACCAGGTGCTGTTTTATGCCATGGTCTGTGTTTAGCTGTGGTAATTCCTTCTAAACATGCCAGTGTAGAGCAATCTCATGGATCTCCTAACAGAAATAAGTTGGTTTTATTTTTTTAAAGGGCACTGGGAGACCTTATGTAAATTAATTGCAAATTAGGGATAATAGAAGTGGGAGATTTTGGTTTAAATCTAAATTAGTTGGGTTGAGGTCAAGGTGTTTGGGTTTTTGGTGTGAGGGTAATTTTTTTGTTTGTTTGTTTGGTGTTTTTTGGGCCTTTTTTGTTTGGTTGGTTTTGTTTGTTTGTTTAACAGGCATATTTTGGCAGTAAAATGGAATTTCAACCATTCTCAAGTATTTTGGATGCTCAAAACCTGTGAGGGGGCAGGAACTAAGGGCTTTAGTAAAAAGGGGGAAGGTAGCTTTGTCAAGAACTCTAGCACCTTGTCAAGTGAATTTTATTTTATTTCTTATATTGGTAATTGGGCCTAAAATGCACGTAGTGCCCACATTGAGAGTCCTTGAGATCTGATACAGTTTTGGAAGGGCCTGGTGTGGGGTTTTGGTGCATTTTTATGAAGGAAGAACCAAGCAGGAGGAATAAATTCAAGTCCTTGGGCTGGGTCATCCTCCCTTTCTGCAGCTGCCCACCTTCTGCTTTGTCTTTTGGCCTCTGTGCTTTTTGGGATTTCAGCTTTCATTGCCTCCCTGGTTTGTCCTTTTGGAAAGCACAGTGTTCCAAAACAATATTTTAAGGTTTTTACAAGATTTGTGATGTTCTTTTACCCTTGTGCAGCTCCCCTTTGGCTTGGCAGGTTTTTTTTTTTTTGCAGTTCTCCAAGTCAGCAGCAGTGATTTGCTCACTCACCTTGTTTTAATCTTCCATGATGATAAAATCCAGTGGTTCTCTTGAATGGAAGCTTGTTGACATTTAATGGGGAGCTCTCCCAATTTGTTTCACACACCTAAACCTCCACAAGTCAGGGCTAAGAGGCTCCTGGTGGTTTTCCTTGACTCCTGAGAGTCTGGAGCTGAGCTGAAACCTCCTCATCCCCTTCAGCCTTGGCTGCTCCTTCCCAAATCCACAGCAAAGCATGGGAGTTGATGGTTTCCTGTTAGGGCAGGGACATTTTTCCCCCAATACCCACTCTAAAGCTCCCATCCCATTGCTCCCTGTCTGGGCAAACATTCCTCCCTCCCAGGAAGGCAGGAAAACATCCCAGACCAGCTGTGGTCCCTTTGGAATGCCTCGATCGTTCCCATTTCCCAAATGGAAACTGCTGCTGGTTCTGTCTCCATCTCAGGTTTTCCTGGGGGTTTTGATCCACTGGGAATTCAGGCCATGGAACAGGAGCTGCATGAGCACAGTGTCTTCTCTTGCACCTGCAATGCCAAAGGTTGAACCCAATTTCACTCTGAGCCTTTGCTTTTCCTTCTCCTGCCCGTGAGTGTGTGGGAGGCAGCACACCTACCTGTCCCAAAATACTGATTATTTTCCATGTGTTCTCATACAGATACACACAGGATTTATTCACAGCTGGAATACAAAGGGATGTGTTAGGTAAAACTGCAGAAGGTTTCCTAATTCCTGGCTAAGAGGTCTTTTTGGCCTATTGAGGCAAAAGCAATGTATTTAATGGAGATAGACTAGAAAACACAAGTTTGCTTTGTGATTGTTTCTAGGTGGGTGCTGGGAGAGCTTGGATGGTTTCTGGAGTCAGTGAGGGTCACATCTGGAGTAGGAAATTACCTCCAATTTCTTTCCTCTCCAGATGAAAAAAATCAAATGGAGCAGCCTTCTCCTGCTGCTGATGGGTGCATTGGAGGGGAAGCAGTGGCTGGCAGGACCCTGAGAGGTTTGTTTAAAACCAGGGTGGTTTTAACCTTGCAGCTCTTATCTCCTGTGGCCTCAGGGACTGATTGGAGTACCAGGAATCTCAGTGCTGCTCCATTTCTCTGGGCTTGGAGCTGATCTGCTCAGCTGGAGCATCCTGTGCAGCACAGGTTGTGCAGGAGTTAAATCAGCATCCACGCTGGGTTTGTAACACAAACATCACTCTCTGTCTGCTTACAGCTGACCAGGCCTTTATGGAAGGAACAAAATGACAAATGTTTTTAAATACAGAAAAATGGAGCCTTATTTTTGTTCTTTGGTGTGGAATTGTCAGTGAGGTAGGAGCCAGGTGCAGCCCAAGAGCTTAATTTCTGTGATAAACCTGCCTTTCTTCAAGGAATCAACCCCTGCCACAAGCAGTTTTTAATTAATATTTTAGTAAATGGCTCTGTGGTTTATTTCTGCCTAGATTATGCTCCTGAAAAAATGATGTGTTTGAGGAATAAAAAGAGATTTTCCCCTGCCTGAGCAGGGCTACTCCCACTGACTCTGGCTGCTGCAGTTGCTGACATGAAGTGTGATGTGCAGCAGAAAATAGCATGTTTCACAGCCAGCAGATTTCCTTATTTACCCTGGTGGAGAAGTGACTGCAGCTGCAGTGGTGACATGAATGTGACAAACCCAGGGCTTTTCCTGTGGATGGGAAATGGCTTAAGCAGGTACACACTGGGAGAGCCTTTGCTCTAACTGGAGTGAGTTGGAGCTCTGGGATGATGTGGGAGCACCTGCTGCTGGGAGCAGATCCATGCAGAATGGGAATTTTGGGGATTTTTTGTACAATTTCCCTGCTTTTTGTCATGTTGGACTGTCAACCTCCCAAGAATCGGACCTTTGGTCTCACATTTCCAAAGCTGTGGCATGAAATTGTGTGCAGCAGAGCATGAAATGTCATTATCCTGATGTTGGGAATGTTCTCCTCTTCCACAGATGCCTTTGTGAACAGCCAGGAATGGACACTGAGCCGCTCTGTGCCCGAGCTGAAAGTGGTGAGTTGGTGTTTGCTCCTGCCTGGGACACGCTGGGAATGTCACACACCACTGGGGACCTCCCAAGCTTCACTCCAGCTGCTGCTGGGGGAATGTGGAGAGCAGTTTAATAAGGAAAGGATTTTCCCTTTCCATGTCTATTATAGACTCACAGGAGGGTTTGGACTGGGAGGGACCTCAAAGCTCATCCCATTCCAGGGACACCTCCCACTATCCCAGGCTGCTCCAAGCCCCCTCCAACCTGACCCTGAACACTTCCAGAGCTGAGGCTACCTTTATGTATATTCAATATTCATTTTGCTCATACTTCAAAGATCTCTCAGGGTTTTATTGCTGCTGGAATTTGTTCTGCTCCATGAACCAGCTTCCAAGGGGGATCCTCTCAGCAGGGAAGTCTTAGGAGGGCAGTGGAAGTTAGCAGCTGACATGTAAAGCTCATTTTATCTCCCCATTTTAAGTTTCCATGATTTCAAGGAGCAAATGTCTGTTCTCCCTCTCTTTAAAGAATTTCAAGCTTTTCCCAAAATCTGAGTTGACAGTAGTATTTTGTGGAGGTGAGAGAATCTGCAAGGCCACACTTAGCAGGGTAAATGCACTTTTAATAAAGGCATTTTAATGGCAGCAGCATCCTCACAACTGCAGTTCTGTGGCTGCTTTGATTTTAGCAGTGCTCAAGGTGAGTGCAGGAAAAACCTGGCAGTCAGTGGATGTAATTCCCTAGTGCAGGAAGGGTCACCAGGTTTTGTTAAACAGATGGTGTCATTAGGAAGGCCCCAAATACCTCACACAGTGAAAAACCAGGAATTCAGGACTGGAAGGTGTTGGTTGAGTAGGATTCCAGCACTGTGAGCTGGCTTATCCTGGGTTTCCTTGCCCATCCCTTCCCCTCCTCTGAGCCCTGCTAATTCACAGCACCCCCCAAGAAAACTGGGAATTGCAGGAGAGAGCAGAGCTGCAGGCACCCCGTGCTGGGGTTCAGGGCACAAACCATTGCTGAGCACCAGCTGATGGTCTCAGGGTACATTTTTCTCTTATGCCAGCCTGGCTGCACCATGGGAGAGTTACCTTGGGTGTCCTGCCCCTGATTTGTCTGAAGCAGGGCTGGGAAATTTCAGATTTCAGCTGTGTGGCTGCTGCAGAGAATGGATTTGCAGTGGTCAGCGTGCCACAGGAGCTGCCCAAGGGGAAAAGCACAACTGCTGCTGTTACAAAAATAATAATTTGATTATAGCCCTGCAAATGATGGAAGCCAGCAGCACCAGCTGTGCCTGTGAACTTGTGCTCCAAGAGGAAGGGTAAATTAGGAAGCCCAGCTGAAATCTGCTCTGCCTTTCCTGCACATCTGCCCTGTGTGTCCCCCCCCTGCCATTCCCTTACTTCAGCCTCATCCTGGGTGCTCCTGGGGCTGAGGAACATCAGGGCCATGTAGAAGGGAGAGGTTGCCCCCTGCACAGGCTGGGAGGTCCTTAATTGGATTATTGTTGTTATTTATCTTTGATTTATTTCTAGAGCGGCTGTGTTGTACCCTTTGGGCTCTGCAGAATTTTAAAGGGAACAGAAACTGGCTCTGGGAGAGCAGAGAGAGCCCCCAGGGCTGCAATAAAGGAAGGAGGTATTTCTCAGTGTGCCTCTGAGGAAAGGACAGCAGTATTTTTTGCCTCCTTTCTTTAGCTTGGTTTCCTTCCAGTGCTCAGAAGGACATTCAGGGCCACCTTGGAGGGGTTTGGAGCAGCCTGGGATAGTGGGAGGTGTCCCTGCCCATGGCAGGGGGACGGATGGGATGGCCTTGGAGGTCCCTTCCAGCCCAAACCAGTCTGGGATTCTGTAACTGGTTCCTGCTGATCCAGTACTTGGGTTTTACTTATGGATTTTGATGCTTTTATTGTGGTCAAGATCTTGGTGAGACCTCTGCTTTTGGTGTTCCTGGGCCCTCTTTGTTCAAATGTTAAATGAGGATGTGTTAGGCAGAATAAACATGAGAGATTGCTGGATAAAATCACCAAATTTCTTGCAAAAAAATCTGCCAAGTGCAGCCAGGCTCCTCTCCTGGCCAGCTTTAAAATGCCAAGTGCCATCAATACAGTTTCTGATTTTCCCCACCAGGCTTTAGGAGGCGTGGGCAAAGTGGCTGGGGTTTGTTTTACAGCATGTCTGGCACATGGAAATAAATGATTCAGTGTTGCACAAGTCAGAACTGAAAAGAGCAGTGAGTTGTAGCTGAATTTTCTCCTCCCTGAACTGGGTTAGGGTGGTATTTTTGTTCTCTAACATGCTTGTCATAACTTGGTGCATTTCAGGCATATCCATAAATAAATGGAGATGACTGGGATTGTTTGTGTGTAAAGCAGGGGAGAGAGGAATATGACTGCTGTGAAAACAGGCTGGCATTTTTGTCATGCTGTGGGGGATCAGCCTTAAAGCAAATATTAATGTTGACAAACAGAGAAACTGTATCAGAAGCCAGATTTCCCCCCCCCCCCCCCCCCCCCCCCCCCACCCCGTGTAAAATTTATTGTTCCTATTTTGTAGGAATGTGTCAGAGAACCTGAAGTGCTGTCAAATGGTGTGACCTTTGGGATATTTTAAAAAAATTATTATATAAAATTGTGTTCTTGAATCTTGATGTCTTTTAAATTTTGAGGGTGTCTGGATAGAATAGGACATCCCAGCCATGGGGTGTTGCCTCTGACTGGACCCCCAGGTTGATGCTTTTCTGTTCTCCCTGGCAGTTGCAGTTTTGGCATGAGTGTACTAGAAAACAAAATTAATTTCCATCCACACAAGGCTAATCATTTTAAGTGAAGGTTTCACTGGAAAATTGTTGTCTTGGCCACATGTGTAGACCATGAAAAATACAGTTCAGCTTTCACACACTAAAATAACTATTTTTCAGTGGTGAATCCTGAATGGGGAGGACTTTGTACATTGTTGTAGGAGCTTCTCCTAGGGAAGCTTTGTGTGGAAGGGGAGATGGTGTCACTTTGGGGACGAGAGGAGGTGCCAGGGCCAAGCTGTTTGCTCACAAGGCTCCCTCAGCTCTCAGTGGGTTTGTGGTCTGAGTGGGAGTAGACAAATGTACTGCAGCTCATGGGCATGTAATGGAGGGAAAAGGCATTAACTGGAGAGATTGCTGCATGTTCTGGGGGTGAGTGACACGTGTTGGAGATGTCATTTTCTTCCCGTGACTCATCCCAGCATCCATCCCTCCCCTGCTGCCCACGCTGTGGGATCAGCCTCAGGCAGGGGGGAATTTGGGGTGCCAGCACACCTGGCTGGGTCCCACCAAGCCAGTTTTGATCAGGAGGGTGCTGTCCTGCCAGCTGGGGCTGAGAAGATGGGGTAGGGAATGTGCAGCTCGTGGCTGCTGCCTCGGCCCCTTTGGCAATCCAGGCAGATCAGCAGAGTTCATCTTCTCTCCAGGGACCTTCTGTTCTGAACCTCTGGTGAGGGTCAAGTAAACAGGAGAGAGCAGAGCAGGCTGGGTTTGTTTCAAATGGGAAGAGAAGCTTCCATCACCTCCCTCCCCCAAGAAGGGAGCACGGTGTCCTCAGCTCTGTGCTCCCCTTTAAAGCCTCCAGCCCCTAATCTCCTCAAGCCCGTGGGCAGTTGAGCACCTCCAGGAAGAAAACTCTGTGGGGTTGGGCTGAAATATTTCCCTGGGAGGGTGGGGAGGCCCTGGCACAGGGTGGCCCATCCCTGGCAGTGTCCAAGGCCAGGTTGGGCAGGGTTTGGAGCACCCTGGGATGGTGGAACAAGATGATCTCTCAAGTCCCCCCCACCCCAAACCACTGCTCTTCCTAACCTCACCCTCATTAAACCCTACATTCCTAACCATCCTGGCTATCTTCACAGCAGCCCTAGGAGAATGAATAGGACTCAACCAAACACAAATTGGAAAAATCCTAGCTTTTTCTTCCATCTCCCACCTAGGTTGAATAGCAATGATTATTATCTAGAACCCTAAACTTACCCTTCTCAACTTCTACCTCTACGCTATAATAACTGCAACTGGTTTCCTCACACTAAATACAATCAAAGTTCATTTATCTCTTGGCACATTTTGCTCCCTGTCTGTTCCTTGGAGTGTTATTCCACGTGTAGATTTTGCTTGAAGACACAGCTTTTTGCTGGGGTGGCTTGCAGCTGAGTTTTTTGTTGCTTTCTTTCCGTGTTGCACGTCAGGGGATCGTGGGGAACCTGGCGAGCGGGAAGTCGGCGCTGGTGCACCGCTACCTGACCGGCACCTATGTCCAGGAGGAGTCACCTGAAGGTAGGTGCATCCACAGCTCCCACCCTGCTTTCCCCCCACAAACCACATCCTTGCTCATTTTTGATCATGCAGAAATGATAAAAAAAAAATCCCATGTGCTATTCAAAATGCACGGGGATTTTTGCTTTGACGTTCTCCAGAGCGGGCTAAGTATGTACAATAAAATTGTGGGTTTTCCATCCTTTAAATACTTTGCTTTGCATCCTTTAAATACTTTGGCCCCCAGTGAGTGTCCATATGGGAATTAGTCCTGATGGAGGAGGAGTTGGCTGCTCTCAGTAGTGCTGCTGATTTCACTTGGGCTGTTGAAAGCCACAGTTACTGTCTGTAGTGGTGGGTTTCTTGTTAGGAGAATAAAAATCTTCACCTAAAAATGTGTAACTTGCTTATTGTTTAATATATTAAATATTTGTGGTTTTTTTAAAAATGTTTTTATGGCATAGAAAATTAATTTGTTCGCTGTAGTGTTTAACATTAATCCAGTTTATAGCTTGAAATCAAAAATTATCACAGTACCTTATCAAGGTTTATCTTACAGTAAATACTTTTTTGATTATTTTTCTTTATCTGTTCTCCTTATGAACTTTTAAATCCAACTCTGAGACACTGAATTTCTGGTTCCTTCTTTCCCTTACTGGCTGTTCCCTTCTTTGCAGATATGGATGCAGGTAACTATACATTGTCTTCATGGCAGCTCTGGTTTTGAAGGACCAGATGGTGGTTTCTGTACTAGAGCGTTTTCCCCCCTTGTTTTGTGTATCATTTTGAGTTGTTCCCTTTTGATTTCAAGTCTTTAGTGCATCTCACTGTTGTTGTCTCTTGCTGTAGTTGTCTCTTCAGCAGTAGTTTGTAGTTTCATGCATCTCTGATAACATTTGTTTCCAATTAACTCTTACCACAGGAAGCTGGTTCAGCTTGGTAGTTGACATTTTAACAGCCTGGGATTGGAGTTAAAATGGGAGGAGAGGGGAAGGGAGGGATGGACAAGGAATTTTCCTGTGGAACTGCACTGACACTGAGGTCCTGCAGTTTGTAAGTTTGCCCTGAATGCTTTTGCTGGTTTGTAGCTAGGGCTGACAGTAATAATTGATGGTAGCAATTGAGCCTGTGCACAGAAGTGTGTGTGGATCATCTTGTGGCAGCTGATAGTGAGAAATGCTGACAGAGGCTGCAGAGGCACTGAGTGCAGCAAATCTTCAGCAAAAATCACTGTCTTGACAGATCTCTTCCTCCACTTCATGAACAGAGGATATTTGGTTACGTTTTTGGGGTTTTTTTTCTCTTGGAAGATTCAAATCTCCTGACTGTTGACAGGGCTACCCTCCTCTCCTCCTAAAGGATGAATATTTTAGGTGATATTCCTTGGGAGTGTTGCCATCTGTCCTCTTTGTCTTGAAGGATTTTTATTTACAGTGCTGGAGTGACGTTGGGACTGTTTTTCCTGCAAGGATTAGATGACAAAAGCAGTGTCAAATCATTTCTGTGCACATAAGTGTGCCTGACAAGCCTCACTAATGACACTGTTGCATTTCATTAACAGGAGGAAAACTGGAATAATTAAGAGCTCTGATTTGCCTTGTGAGAGATCAGGTCAAGGTTTCCAATCAAGTCAGCATGAAAGGAAATTCAACCCATATAAATTACCCTCAGTAAACATCTGCAGGGGGGATTTGTGTTTTACTTCTCTGTCAGAGAATCACAGAAGCACAGAGAGGTTTGGGTTGGAATGGCCTTTAAAACTCACCCTGTTCCACCCCTGCCATGGGCAGGGGCACTTTCCATTATCCCAGGGTGCTCCAAGCCCCCTCCAACCTGGTCTTGAGCACTTTTAGGTCCTTCAAACAAGTCCCTAGAAAATCCTTCATGCTGGAGACCCTTGTGGATCCTCCCCTTGCTCCTTTCCTGAGGGACTATAAATGTGTCAGACTGTTAAATTTGATAAAGAAGAGGTTGCATGTCGGATGTGAAGGTGTCAGCTGCTTGATCAGTTAAGGAAAACCTGAGTTTACTGGCTTGGAATGGCTTCCTAACAGCTAAATTTAACAGGCATCATAAAATCAGTGCCTAATGGGTGAAGTGATGGATATTTGCTTCATGTGGAAGTGGTGATTAGGGCCAGGGGCTGCTATTTCTGCTCTCCTCTGCCTCTAAATGGCTGCAATTACCAGGAAACCTGCCCTGCATCCACATCTCCTGCAGGCCTTGAGGGCTCCAGCATCCCAGGAAATGAATTTGAGCCATGTAAAGATGGTTTCAGGTTTCCTTCAGCTCTCTCAGTGAGAGATTTCTCTCTGCCCATCACCACCTCCCTGCCAGGAGGAGGAACCCTGCACTTCACCCTGCGCTTCTCTCTCACTGCCTGCCCCAGTTCTTATTTCTGCTCTGAACTTTTCAGTCCCTCCTGTGTTTGCAACTTGCAAACCTTTGTTTTCTCAAAGAATAAGTTTTTATTAGGAAGAAAAACGGCCTTGAGAGTTTTCCTTTGCATATTTAACATCCACTCAGCTGTGCTGCTGAGTGACACATTTTAAATCAGATGTAAGAAAAGCAGCAATGTGTTACCCTGCTGTCAGGGGGGAATTTCAGTACTCCGGGACTTTTCCATTTTTTTCTGTGATGATACAAGAAGGAAATTGTTATAGATACGTATTTTAATACTGGCTTTTTGCAAATATTAAAGTGGATTCTATATGTGTGATGTTAAAGTAACTTTGTTATGAAGATCTAGTTTTTATTTCTGTTGTTAATTAAGCTTAGCCATAGTAGTGAAATAGCTGATATAAGTTAAAATACCTACTTGGATAACATCTAATAAACATTTAAAGAAGACACCTACTACAAATATGCCAACTATCAACATTCAATGTCTGAAGGCAGTGTAGACCAAAGCCCAAAAACTGGAGGTGATAAGAGCAGACAAAAACCATAACCAAAGAATACACATGCTCTAAAAAAAGACCCAAAAAGAAGATTTACTAAACAGTTCTTAGAACATGTGAACTGATTTAAAGAAAAGTTTGCTATGCAGAGGAGCCTATGAATATACAACAAGCTGATATAAAAGTATTTAAAGAGTATCCCCAAAGATAACAGTGTACTCTTAGCTGTAATAACCTTTACTCTATAATCCTTGTCTCCTATTATCCTTTATTAGACTTTTTAAATTTTCACCAGAGAGTAAATGTGTTTTTCACAGAAATGATGGGAGATAAGGGATCCTAGGGATTTGTAATCTTCTAAGGACCTTCAAAGCAATATGGAATAAAAACTGCCACTGCTGGGTGCCTTACCTGCTGAAACATCAAGTGACCTGTGGGAAATGTTGTGGCTTGATTTCCCCCATCTAGAATTGAATTCTGCCTGTAGGAGTCAAGTGAGATGTGTGCTGTATGTGGAATTTGAGACTGAATTCTTTGCAGACCAAGGTGAACTGAAGTTTACAGGAGTAGTGAGTGGCAGGAGGATTCTGTTACTTGTTTAGGTTTTGTTTCCAAAAAGCCACAGAGGTGTGAAACATGACTTAAAGGCTTTTCCACATCTCTGGCATGTCTGTGAATATTTTAAGTCATGTCATGATTATTTCAGTACTTAATTTTCCAGTGAGTCTAATAAAACAAAACAAAAAAAGACAAGCTGTGGCCCAGGCTGGGATGACAAAAAAGGAATTTTTTTCCTCTATGTACTCTGGGATATATTTAAGAGTTATTTATTCATTTCATGTGGAGTAATTATTTTTAGTGTTTTAAAAAGCATAAAAGCATCCACCATCCCAACTTGAGGTAGCAAGTAGCTGTTGCAGTCAGTGGCAGTTTCATCTCTCTTTGTGAAGGAACTTATGCTAGAAATCAAATTTCCTCCAGTAAAAGATACAGAATAAAGCCTTTAATGTGTTTTTCAGAAAGCTGTGATCATTTACTCTCTTTCCAAATTTGACCTAAAGATATTTTATACTGTTTCAGCCTTCACCACAGAACTTTTTCAGTGCCACAGTGAGCAGTGTGTCACTTGAGTGGCAGCAATGGTCATGTTTAATATTAAAATACCAAATGAAGTGTCACCCTCAGCCTTCCCTTTGAAGCATATCATGAAAATAAGTTGCCAGCCTGTAACAAAAGCATGCACTGATGATCTTCAAGCCTTTTCCAACGTAAAGGATTCTGATTCTGTGTAGAGAATTCCATCTTGAGGGATGCATGTCCATGTTTTTCAATTTATCTCGAGTAACTGTTCCTGCCTGCTGCTTCCTCAGCAAAGGGTAATTATGCAAGGAGGATTGAGGAAGAGTGCTTTCAAAATTCAGCTGCTTTTGTTCACATCCTCTTAAGAGATTTGCTCCTGGCCACAGACCCTTACACAATATGGATGCAGAAAGTTCAGCCATAATCTATGAACTGGGATGACCTGCCAGGTGTCTTCATTCAGCTCTGAGCCTGGCCTGCAGCCAAGAGTGTGGACCTGCTACACCTGGGAAAAAAAAAGTAAAAAAAGGGATAAAAACACTGCCCCATGGCTGGATGTGTTCAAGGCCAGGCTTGGGGCACTCTGGGGTAGTGGAAGGTGTGGGGTGGAATGGGATGGGCTTTAAAGGCCCTTCCAGCCCAAACCACTCTGGGATCTTTCTTTGCTTGCTGGGGTTGTGCTGGGAGATCTATCCTTAGGTTGGGGTCAGGGTTTGTATTTTGGGTTGAACAGAACATGGGGGCTGCAGCAGAACTGGACAATTTGTCCCCTCTGCAGCCCTGGGGTTCCTGTCCCCTTTTCCACATGATTCTTGCAGTTCTGCCTGCTGTGAACAATCAGGTTCCTGAGGCTCCCACTCCCTTTACAGAAGCCATTGCTATTTTTATCCAGTTAATATTTCTCAAATACGTAGGAAGACCATATTTACTGAACACCCAAATTTGATCTTTGATGAATAAAGGGAGGATGTGTCCCAGACTAATCTGTGAGCTCTGTTCTCAGTGAGCAGCTGGCTGCAATGTAAATGAAGAGCACAGAAA